TGAGGGCAAACTTTTTCGGAGTGAGAGTTGTAAACTCTTGGAACAATCTACCAGAGTGTGTTGTGACGGCACCGAGTGCAAGCTCTTTCAAGACAAGACTTGACTAACACTGGAGCGGGTTCAGGTACATTCAGGAGCTGGTGCATGCCCAGTATTTGCCAACAGTGCGTGACAGAGAGGTGACCGATCGCCCGGGCGGCTAGCGAGCCGGTCTTTTGGTGAAGAAGATAAATGAAAAGGAAAAGTAATCAGAGACGTGACCGATCTCCCAAGCGGCTAACGAGCCGATCAGTGGCGAAGAGGATAAAAGTAAATGTAAAAAGAACAATCCTACATATAATAAGACCCACTTATGGGACTCTAGCTCACTGTGTACTTGTGTTAAGTTTTCAGAATTATCAAAATATAATAAATATTACACAGTACTAAAAACAGTTATAAGTGAAAAATCATTTTGTTGGAAATGATTTACTATCGGTATGTAATGTAAGTCCTTAATGGGTACCGTGGACTAGTCAGTACAGAAGGAGTGACTGTCTGGGCAACTGAATAACCATGTTATCAGAAAGGTTTGTTTCATCCCATCAATGAGGGATTTGGAGCAGTGAGTGAGATACAGTAAAGGGCTTAATGAAGAACCCAATTTGGTAAGTGATGTCATACACATATAGAAAAAATATCTTTGAATGAATAACTAATAAATATGTTTTTTTTGCTCCCTTTTTGACCTCTGGCTGTGACCTTGATGATGCATATTCATGTGAAGTTTCATTAAAATCTCTGCATAGTTATTGTATAAAAGTTACTCTCAGGGCAAGCAATAGTGTATGGACACCCACTAACACAAATGACGTAACTTGTAAGCTTCCAATGACTTCACTACGGTGATGAAGGGCAAGTACTGTACAGGGAAGGTACAGTATATAACATGTTTGAGATCACAAGTGGGTGCAAGAGTCAATGGTAAGTAAAGATGGTGAGTCTAGAGTGAAGTCTTCATAATTCATATCTACAGCACATAGATGAGATAAAGGAGTGATATAGTGACTGAGTTTGTAAGATACACTTGTAGTAAATATATGATCAAATGTGAGATGGTAGGTCCAGTTATGGAAAGAGATTAAGGAGGATTCAGATACACTTAGTTAAATGACATGTTTGGAACAATACCATGGGTTGTCCTCCTGTTCCACGGGAAACAGAGTATTAAAGCTACATAAACAACAGTGCATAGTTGTCACACTTTCATGATATATAATTCTACCTGAATATTCTAAGACATGTTGGAGGTAGGAATTCTGGAAACTTTGTCAAACAGAATCTTCAGCATAAACAGTTTCAATAAGAAAAGCTGTGCATATGTGGGCTGTGTCCTGTTATTAGCCATGTCAGACAACTGTATGAATATCGTACCAATCATAATTGATTGATTGACTCACTCGGTTACTGAGAACTTTTTGACAAGTCCATATTAATGACTTAAGAGCAATTATTAGTACCACTTGCATGACAGCAAGTTTCATTTTATCCAATTAAAAAAAACCAGGTAATGACTTTTCTGTGTTGGTCTGTAAGAACATGCACATGGCTAAACATAAACCTCGGTTACAGCTACTGAGGTCACACAAATCCACTGATATTCATTTGACAAAGTAACTCGCTCAACAAAATCCAAACATGTTCCTCACAATTTGTATCCGTAAGAAAATATTCCAACAATACATTGGAAGTTTCTTATTATGTAAGAGTTCTGTCTTAATTAATATATTCTATTAATGTTCTTTCTACAAGATGCCCCTGAACCTCCATATAAAGTATTCTCTGGTTGGGTAATGTGACAGATACAGTACTAATTTTCTCTGTCCTTCATGAGAAACAGATGTGTGTTAAGTCGTATGTAAACTAATGACACTCGGCTCACTCAACACTTAATAATATGTCTGGAGCTTGATTTACTGAACAAAATGACAAAAACTAAAAAATTTAACCCCAGCGGTGCAAAGAAATAATAATAGCCAAATACACGAACACATCTTTTATGGAATTATGTTTTTGTCTCCTGTAGATAGTGTTTCTCCTGATTAAGAGTGTTTCCCCCAAAAATATACTGTTGAAATTTAAAAATATTCATATACGCATACTTGATACAACAAACTCCACAACATTCTAACAGACTACAGTACAGATAATCCTGAGTTACCGGAGATTATTAACTCGAGGGCAGTGAGGCACTCTTTTATGAAGGTACTGTAGATGTAATAATTTTCTCTTACTCAAGTATTTACTTTATCTACAGGATATCATACAGGGAAAGCATTTTATTTGAGAAACCTAAATGATTACTTTATTTTAGGATGTGCAATAAACAGTTACCTAAATAGTAGTAGGAATAAAGTTTGATCATTGTGAAAAATATAAAGGTTCTCCTCAGTGATCAGGCTTTATTCCTACTGATTATTAAGTTCCTGTTTATTGCACATCCTAAAATATAGTAATCATTTAGGGTTCTCGAAAAAAAAAGACCCTGTATAATTTCTTAAGGAGAAAAACTTGTTAATGAACCTAGAATCTAAAGAACATCATGTTATATACTGTATTGTACTGTATATATTTATAGCTATCACCATCTACAATAATATTCCACTGTTAGTACTGTACTCTATGTGCCTGTATTATGATGGCAGTGAGGAGCAGAAACTACCTGGTTCCCTGACTTAATATGCATGAAACTCAAAGGAAAAAGCAAGTTATAATGAAAGGTGTACAATATAAAAATCATATATACCTCTACATCAATAATTATACAAGAGATGTAGACAGCATAATTAATGTCATACAGTACTGTACAGTATGCAGTATTGTATTTAGTATTGCAGTGTATATTACAACGAGTTACAGAACGTGGATAATCCTAATTATGTACAATCATGTCTTAAGTACCGAACAAGATACAAAAAATTAAAACAAACATAAATTGGACAGAATAAATTATATTTCACTGTTGCTATAGGGATATTACATTAAACAAAAACACTTAATTGACCTGTGTATGATTGTAACTTAACACAGAGAAAATTACCTGACATACAGTATTAAAGTATTACATAACTGAAAATAGAGAAATATTCAAGAAAATTACATAACCAGTACTAGATACAGTACAGTACAACTGATGTCAACATTGCTGACAGAAGACAGTCACTCCTATCTGGTACTCTTACACTGAGGTACAAATGTAATCTCTAAAAAATATAAGTACAGGTTGACAATCCCTTATCCGAAATCCTTGGGACCAGATGCATTTCGATTTTTGGAATTTTTCGGTTTTCAGAATTTATTTATTTATTTATTTATTTTTATTTTATTTTTTTTTTTATACAGGGATCAGCCCACCCGGGCACAGGTCACTGACCCACATTGGGGCCTGGGGGCTAAAATATTATTATTATTATTATTATTATTATTATAATAATAATAATAATAATAATAATAATAATAATTCATAGGTCTAGGTCGTGTTTCTCACTTTTGATCTTTTTTTTCATTCTTGTATTTCTTTATTATTATTATTATTATTATTATTATTATTATTATTTTATTATTACAGTATTATTGTTATTATTATTATTGTTATCATTCTTATTTTATTTTTGTGTATTTTTTATTAAAATTTTTATTTAATATGAATAATTATTATTATTACTGTACTGTATTATCATTATTATTATAATTATTATTACTATTACATTTTCACCCCCCCCAGGCCCCGATGTGGGTTAGTGACCTGTGCCCGGGTGAGCTAATAAAAAAAAAAAAAATGCTCCACAAAAAATAATTTCGGTTTTCAGAGCTTTTCGGTTTTGGGAATTTCGAATAAAGGGTTGTCAACCTGTACTGTACTGTAATGTCAAAACATATATTGACCCTTTCCAAGTGCAAAACAAATACAGTAGTAGCAGTAGGTCTTTGAAATAGCTCACAGTTTTCAAGAAGATAAATATTTCACACTGCTGGATCTTACGACAAGGGAGGAAACTCGTACTGATAATGCAGAAAATATCAATGATCTTAAGTTTGGTTACCCTGATGTGATTTATGTTCTTTTACACAAAACAAATATTCAAGTATAATCCATAATGCCATCCTGTAAATGCTCTAATATGATAATAAAAAAAAAATCTGGAGCTGATGTGGCTAAAGTTCCCTTCCTAAATACACTTTCAGGTAAAATTCCCTTGAAACATCAATGTGAGTCTACCATGAACAAACCCAAGTCATGGTAACGGTACAATACTATGAACAAGACATGTTATACCAAGTAAGACTTCAAGTAACATTTAGAACAAGCACTTGGAATGGGTAAAACCACAGAGGACTAGAGAAAACTGCTGCATAAGACTGTACAGTACTCTGTTGTGGGAATGGTGATACTTGAATCGTTGTAGGTTTCTAAAGGCCTTGTGCCAAATATCTAAAATTAAAAATGAGATTAACCAGGAACTGATAAACTCACAAAATAAGTTCCTACGGTTACACTTGGACACAGGAGGTAATTTGTAATAAACCTCTTATATATTTATGAATTTGAAACAGTCAACACAACACTTACAATTAGATCACAGTAAAGACCACAACACCTGACCAACAAACAGTCTGGTCAGGAAAGAATAAATGTTCGAGGGTAAAAAAGGAAACCCAGTACAGTTTATTGTACATAAAATGTGAAGTACATATGATACAGCAACTAAATAATTATTAACTACAGTACAGTAATATCTCCATTAGCAGGAATCCCTCAAACCTGGAACTCTCCGATAGCCAGAATTTAAATTTTTTCGGAAAAGTTTCCCAAAGCCAGAATTTTCCGGAAAATTCAGAGAAAATTTTCGCGATACCCGAAAAATTCCAGGGATGGGGGAGTTTTTTCCGGGTTTGAGAGATGAAAAGCAGGCACATTTTCTGGAAATTCTGAGAAAAATTCCCGTTATCCAGAAAATTCCGGGGATGAAGGATATTTTTCCATCTTTGAGAGAGTCGTCTCGTTACCAGGAAATCTCTCATTCCCGGAAGTGCTCTGCACCAATTGTTCCAGCTAGCGGGGATATCACTGTATTTGGAAATATTCATACCTCAATAGAAAGACGTTCACAATATTTGTAGCCTGACAGTCGAGTCACCTATACTTGTGTACCTCATGCTCCCTGGTACAGTCCTAAAGTGTACCTCATGCTCCATGGTACAGTCCTATAGTGTACATCATGCTCCTTGGTACAGTCCTATAGTGAACTCTTTCATGAGAAGACTTGACCAACACTGGAGCGGGTTCAGGTACATTCAGGAGCCGGTGCATGCCCAGTATTTGCCAACAGTGCGTGACAGAGACGTGACCGATCGCCCGGGCGGCTAGCGAGCCGACCTTTTGGTGAAGAATATAAAGGAAAAGAGACGTGACCGATCGCCCAAGCCGATCAGTGGCGAAGAGGATAAAAGTAAAAGTAATAGTGTACCTCATGCTCCATGGTACAGTCCTATTATGTACCTCCAGCTTCATGGTGCAGCCCTATAGTGTACCTCATGCTCCATGGTACAGCCCTATAGTGTACCTCATGCTCCCTGGTACAGTCCTATAGTGTACCTCATGCTCCATGGTACAGTCCGATTATGTACCTCATGCTCCCTGGTACAGCCCAATAGTGTACCTCATGCTCCTTGGTCCAGTCCTATAGTGTACCTCATGCTCCATGGTACAGTCCTATAGTGTACCTCATGTTCCCTGGTACAGTCCTATAGTGTACCTCATGCTCCATGGTACAGTCCTATAGTGTACCTCATGTTCCCTGGTGCAGTCCTATAGTGTACCTCATGCTCCCTGGTACAGTCCTATAGTGTACCTCATGCTCCCTGGTACAGCCCTGTAGTGTGCCTCATGCTCCATGGTACAGTCCTATAGTGTACCTCATGTTCCATGGTACAGTCCTATAGTGTTCCTCATACTCCCTGGTACAGTCCTATAGTGTACCTCATACTCCCTGGTACAGTCCTATAGTGTACCTCATAGGTACAGTCCTATAGTGTCCTCCTCCTATGTCCTCCTCATGGGTACAGTCCTATAGTGTACCTCATGCTCCTTGGTACAGTCCTATACCTCATGCTCCATGGTACAGTCCTATAGTGTTCCTCATGCTCCCTGGTACAGCCCTCATAGTACAGTCTATAGTGTACCTCATGCTCCATGGTACAGTCCTATAGTGTACCTCATGCTCCATGGTACAGTCCTATAGTGTACCTCCTCATGCTCCATGGTACAGTCCCTCATGCTCCATGGTACAGTCCTATAGTGTTCCTCATACTCCCTGGTACAGTCCTATAGTGTACCTCATACTCCCTGGTACAGTCCTATAGTGTACCTCATGCTCCATGGTACAGTCCTATAGTGTACCTCATGCTCCATGGTACAGTCCTATAGTGTTCCTCATGTTCCCTGGTACAGCCCTATAGTGTGCCTCATGCTCCATGGTACAGTCCTATAGTGTACCTCATGCTCCATGGTACAGTCCTACAGTGTTCCTCATACTCCCTGGTACAGTCCTATAGTGTTCCTCATACTCCCTGGTACAGTCCTATAGTGTACCTCATATCCTAGTGTACCTCATGCTCCATGGTACAGTCCTATAGTGTTCCTCATGCTCCCTGGTACAGCCCTATAGTGTACCTCATGCTCCATGGTACAGTCCTATAATGTACCTCATGCTCCATGGTACAGTCCTATAGTGTTCCTCGTACTCCCTGGTACAGAAAGGCACTGTGAGAAACAAGGAATGAGAATCTGAATATCCATATCCACTGACCACAAAATATATATATTTCTATACAATATATTGCATTACTTATCTAACCAAAAATATATTGATATTTAAGCTAATATACAAACATCAGCATCAATCATCATTTTCATGCAATACCCCCCCAAGCTGGGTCTAGTTCTCGATGATCAAAGTATAAATATCATGACCATACACAGGTCAGAATTTACCAGTGTTGCCTTACGTTATTATTAATATGAAGTAGACTACATGCAAAAAAAATAAAAAAATCTATCAAATTAAACAGAAGTAAATCCCCTCATATCCTCGTCTGAAGTTTAATGTAGAAATGAATCATAGATTTTCACATTGATAATAAAGATATTTTCTCATTAATTCATTTTTGCATATTACAATAAAGGTAATGAAATGCATTTCTCATTCCCTCTTCTGCTTATTAATATTGTCTACTTCTATTGCACAAGGTCTTAGGTCATTCCTTTGGTGTGCCCTTGATATACCACTCCATTACACCTATACTGTATGTCTTGTAGTATACTCTACTCTTCTCTCACCAGACCATCTCCCCCTCTCCTATAAGAAACCTTCCACTGCCACATCATCAAGATTATATTACTTGTCAAATACTTTAGGTGTTAATAGTATCTGAACAAACTCTCTTCTGTTTCCTTCCTAATGGCTTCATATTTTCAAGTTTTATGTTATAATTTCCAGTGGATTGGTGATGAGGGAATCCAACTGTAAAACTTGATCTAAATTTACCTGATGGCAACTGGGACACCATACCTTCGGGTAATCCTGGCTAACCCTTTCAACTGTGGACAATTGAGTGTCAGTGGTGCAGCAGTAGTACAACTGACTCTCACCAGATGTGAAAAGGGTGTCAGGGGTTTGTCCAGTGTGACTCTTCAGAATGTAGCAGAGGTCCTAAGTTACTCTGGGTTTTCTCCTGTACTAATGCTAGGCTAGTGTAGCTGCTTAGGATGAGGATAAAAATATTTGTTGTTTATTATGCACTCTTGGCCAGACCACTTCCAACTCTTCTTCTTTTCATTCTACCTCCAACTTTTTTCCCAGTACAGTACAGTACAGTACAGTACTATATAGGGAGATCCTACATTGACCATCAGTTTCCCTCCCCCAACTCTGGCCACCTATAGTTGTGGTGGCTGTTGTGTGTGGTTGTGTGTGTGTGTGTGTTTGTGTGTGTGTGTTTATACCATACATACTATTCATATACGATTTTTTTCCTCTACAGCTCGTAATATATAGGAGAGTTTTGCTTTTTTTTATTCATTCCTATTACTTTCCTCTTGTCAGTATTGTCAACTTATTCAGGGTAAATAGTATTCTAACTCCACTGACAAGACTTACACAGATGGTACAATGAGTGCAAGTGTTCCCATTGTATTTCCATGATCTAACAGTACTGGACATTCACTCATTCCTACTCCAACCAAATATATTATTCATGCCATAAAAATATTTCAGGCATTCTTACACAGGTTCAACCACTGACACAATCAGTATTTACTCTCATGAAACATCTTTACAAGTCTCATTCCTCAATGAACATTTACTCTTACCATAAATAAGTAAATGACATAATTACATCAAAATATAACTTTGGTATTAGAGAAGTGAGAATTCTCTCACATGTTACATTCATTTCAACATCTAGAACACAGTATAATTGGGTTATGAAGAAGATCACAAACCTCTAAGAAAGTAAGTTTATCCAAGTTTCTGTTACTTTTTAGATATATAATCAGAGTAAAGCTCATCCCACCATAGACTGGCACTGATCAACACCTCAAAGTCGTATAAGTAAACAGGACACGAATGAACATCAAATACTGTATTAATAATGCATACTCAGTAAGTGCATATTCAAATTTCAGGATTCACATTTGAGAAAAATAAATTACAAAATAAATTCTGCCAGACTTGGAAATTATGTATTACAGTATATGTTTTCAAAAGACATTTCTAAATGTAAATTCCATTTTCTTATATTAACTACGTACTGTAGTTAAGTTTGGTGAATGAAATTAAAGAACTCCTTGAAATTCAAGATTATAAAATCATATTTCTTATTTTAAGGATCTTAAAAGTTACTATTCAACTTTAATTTCATTTAAATTCATTTCCAAATACATAACAATATCAATGTCCAGAAACTGTTCTGTTATTTTATCTCATATTAGTCAGATAAGCTTGGCACGTACTAAGTATTTGCAGTGAGTAACATTGCATCAGAACATTTTCAAAAGAAACACTTACAGGTATACATTAAGATGCATTGCATGCTATCACAATATCCCAATAAAAATAAGGATCTCATAAACATGATAATACACGTACTGTACTTACACAAAAATATATGACTACTTGTAACTGTGTCCGGTGTACAGTAACCAACATTCAAAACTCCTCCACAAATAACTATTAATTAGATGGCCATTTCTTGAAATGTTAATGTGACTAAATTATTTGGGTAAACTCTCAGATCAGTCTCCTGTCCAAAGAGTAAGAACTAACATATACAGTGTTGCAACACTTTAGGTAGGTACTGTAGTTGTAACCATCAATATGGGTCAAGTGGCCCCATAACATTACATCTTTTATACTAAAGTAACTAACTATACAGATAGATGATTGAACATCGAAGAAATATAATTTTGGTGCCCAATTAAACAATATATTATCTACAAGTTTACTGATGCAAAACTGAACAAAATGCCATCTATGAGAACACAAACTTCCTTTCTTCAGTTTCCAAACTGTCAGTGTATTTTTCCTTCCTTACATCTCAACATAATCACTCATTTTTTCCATATTGCTTATGAATAAAGTACTATTTTGTCACATGTACTATATCATTAATTCAACAGTTAATGAAGAAAATCTTACTAAACAAAGCAAAATATTTACAAAAAAATAAAAAAAAATTTCCATACAGCTCACAAATTTGGAGCTGGAGCTGTACTGGATACCACAGTAAGATGTCCAACTACTAAAATCACTTAGTGTACCTTACTGGGGGAAAGAAGTACTAGGTAAGTGCATTCATCTGTGCCACTGTGTATACATTCATGGCCTGCATCATCTCCTGGAACACTGACCCCTCAGTAGTCATCAGCATCTCTGGTGTGTCAAACTCCCGCACCTGAAATGTATTCCCAAAGTTACTACACTGCATACATAATATACACGAACAGTACAATATACTACAGGTATCAAGGAGCATACCATCCCTAGCCATAACAAGATGAGTGATTTAGCAGTATAACTTGTAAACAAAAATAATAAATTGGAAAAATGTCTTTCATCTAAGTTTTTTGGTTGTGGAGACCAAATAAACATGACTGTACAATTTATAAATCTACAAAACTTCACTACAGTACTCTATTCTGAATAGTTTTTCCACTTAACCTTGCTGACAAACTTGTGTGGGACAGAAGTATGGATGTAAATATGAGTGTGTGTGTGTAGAGCAACAGACAAACATTCTTTAGGAGGAAAGGGCAGATGAAAATCAATGTCTCTTTTCACGCACGCACGCACGCACGCACGCACACACGCACACACACAGCATAACAATGAGGAATGTGTCTTACCTTCCCTGCATCAAGCACCATTATTCTATCATAGTTGGCCACTGTGTTGAGTCTGTGAGCAATGGTGAGAACTGTACTAGTGGCAAAAGCCTCTTTAATGGTGGCTTGGATTAAGTGATCTGTTTCTACATCAACAGATGCTGTTGCTTCATCTAATATAAGAATCTGTAAATGATATTGACATAATTAGACAGAATGCTAAATACAGCTGTACTTCATCCTAAAACAGTCTCTAAATAATAAATAAATTCTTCAAGGTCATGGCAGAGTGGTTGAAGACACGCAATACCAAGTACTTCCACTGCTTTCATTAGTGAGTATGTTATGTGACTCAAAACTGCAACCACTGTTGTGAAAGTGTTCATAAACCATATATATTTAGAAAGGAAACAATAGCACTTACATATACTTGGCTGGGCTTTAAGCTTTAAGGCAGGACACCAATAAGCACTTCTGACCTTCTAGGCAAAGGACTTGTCTTAATGAAGCTACTCAGTGAGGACATCACAGAATTTTCATATCAGTAAAGTTCTATTTATACTGAATTGATGATGGATGTTCTGTTATTTCAATATATTTGTATCTTATAAAGAAATAGGTAACTGTAATGATCTTTTAAACACTGTATGCAGTTAAGTGCACATATTCTAAAGTAACGAGCATCTTGAAGTGGAAGTTAACAGGATAAATCTACTGTACTGAATCAAACCAGCTTAAGGAATCTAAAATTTTTCCTGGTTTAATTTTTCCTAATTTCATGTCCATACAGTATAGTGCTTCCATTATTTTAGAATTTTTGGGGTTCACTTCCTTACCTTACTATTCCTTAGCAATGCTCTTGTGAGACAAATGAGTTGTCGTTCTCCCACTGAGAAATTTTCCCCTGCAGCTTCTACCTTGGACATGAGGCCGTGCTCCTGCCGCTGAACAACCCCTTTTAGATGTGAACGCTCCAGTGCTTGCCAGACGTCATCATCTGACTGTTCTTCAAAGGGATCCAAATTGTATCTGAAAAATATGCCCAAAAGACTTCCTTCTACAACTTATACCACATTATTAGGCGTCATTTAAAATCTATAACTGCTCTATTATCAGGTATCATTCTACTGTCTATAACTGCACTATTTTTTAATATTACCGGTAATTGTATGGTAAGTGGAAACAAATGCAAGGGAAAAATAAATATAAATTAAGGCTAAGTTGACCCAGGAGTGACAACTAAAATACTGTTCTGAATAAAGCAAAGTCTGCCACACAGAACTTGATTTTGTACCGCTACTTGGTTGGCTAACACACACACACTCTGCAGTCATATAATAGAAGAAAAAATTTGAATTTATTACTTAAAGATCAAGATTTTGAATAATACAGCAAATAAAAATTCCAAAAGCACACCTGACTGAACCCTGGAAGAGAACTGGGTCCTGAGGGATGACGGAAATTCTGCTTCGTAACGTATGTAGACCAATGGTGCTGATGTCAACACCGTCAATAATGATGCTACCAGAATCCAACTCAGCCATGCGTAGTAGTGTAGAGATGAGGGAAGACTTGCCTATGTAAAAGAAAACATCTCAAATGATATAGTGGATGAGAGTGATTCAGTACAGAACATAGCCAGTTAACGATACCTTAATCTTAGAAAACACTATACTGTTCAAGTACTGCATTCTTAAGCCATTAGGCTTACTGTTTTGGCCATTTTAGCCCAAATTTAGATTTTTTTCAATGTCTGAGTACAGTATACATACTCCTGAGCATGTTGATTCCGAATACAGTTGTCCGTCGTTTAGTGATCGGGATGCGTCCTTGAAAAACAGATAGCTAAGTGAAATGACTCACCACCAAGTAGCACTCAGTGCGGGTGAGGCCGAGTTGTGAACTATGTTAATGTTCAACTCATAATTTTGGTTAGATATACGCAATTTTCCTAATTTTCTTTTACATGTACACACAATTGTTCATACAGACTGTGCAAACAAAATAAAGGTCAAAAAAATAAAGGAAAAAAAAGTTCTTATGTGGTCAGCAGTTAGCCAACAGAGTGGAGGAGGGGGAACGAGGAACAGCGTGGGGATCTCTCAGCTGTTCTCTGTCTCATGTGAAATGATTGCCAAATGCCAATGTACAGTCAACCCTCACTTTACGCAGTTAATTCAACCCACAGGGTACCGCGGAAAGTGAGAAACGCGTAAAGTGAACAACATAACATATGGGATTAATTGAAATAGAGACCGGACCGACCCCCAAACTCCACTTTTTGACGACACACAACTATGTTGTAGTAAAAATATTATCTTAACTTTATGATGGTATGCACACACAATTAATAATTAAGAGAAATATCAATAATATTAGGTTTTTAACACTTACATTAGTAGAAAAGATGGCTGGGCACACGGGGATGGGCGGTTGGTTCGAGGCAGAGGGCAGATTATTGGCCCTCACCTGTATCACTTGTATCAATTGTATCACTATCCACCACAGAGGCTTGCAGGGCCTCTTTGTCAAACCCCTCTAAGTCCATATCCTCACTATAATTATCACTATCACTGACTTGGGCCGGCTGTGGTGGGTGGCGGGTGAAGAACTCGGTAATGTTTTGATGATTGGGCGACCTTGTGCGCACCATGCTCGCGCCGCTTACACAACATGGCGGATGGCGGGAGGTTTGGATCCAAAAATGGTGCGGCTCGCCAGCCGCTCTCCGCGTAAAGGGGTACACGCACCGCGGAATGTGAGCATTCCTGTTTTGGCAGGGTACCGCGTAAACGTGGAAACGCGGAATGTGGGACCGCATAAAGCGAGGGTTGACTGTAGTAGAATATTTTTTATTTTTTTTATTTTATTGATTTATTATTACTATGTATTTATTTTTATTTATTCCTCACCTAGCTGTCTGTATGCCATGACATCACACTGGGGGGTGGGGGGGGGAGTTCGGCTGGCCAGTCACTGCCTCTATACATACCTTCACCTCCCACCTATGCTCTTCACATTTTATAATTTTATTGTACAGTATTGTAATGATGCGCACTTTGAGCATACATTCCCCAGTTTTTCCGACTTCCCTCACCAAATTTTTCCCAGCAAATCGAAGATTGCTAAACCGAAAGTTAAAACAGTTAAACAATAAAGGATGTTAAAAATTTTAAATCACTAAATCAAAATATCATTAAGTATATGATCGCTAAGCGACGGATACCTGTACGTATATGGCTCGTACAACACAGAATTTGTTATATATTTCACATAATAAAAACTCATACTGGACTTACCCAAGAATTTGATGAGTAATTTATAATTGAAATCTTATGTACATTATCCACCTAATATAGACAGTGAAGGAGACAGGAATAACAATGACACTAACCTGCTCCAGTTCGTCCAATAATACCAATCTTCTCCCCGTCCTTGATCGAAGCACTAATACCGTGAAGCACCAGAGGCAGTTCTGGTCTGTAACGAAGCTTTACGTCTTTAACTTCAATAACACCTTTGGCTGGCCAGCTAGGAGATGGCTCAGTTGATGGGATTTCCTGAGGGGCTTCACTGGGCAGCTCCTTAAAAAAAAAATAAAAATAAAAAGTATAAATTAAACTTGTACAGTGAAACCTCTATTTAATGGATTATATGGGGTGTGTAGTCCATTATATCAAGGTTTGTTAGATATAAAACCTCCACATAACAGACGATAGAGATACTCACATAGGCATATTCTATGATCCGCTCAACTGAAGTGATGCGAGACTGAAACTCGGACTTCATCCTCATGAGGAAGGGAACAAACACACACACCTGAAAAACATGATTTGTAATAAAATATAAAACATTTCTATCATAAAGAAAGATTCAAATGTCAATTATGTTTAGAAACTGAACTACTCTTTTATGAAATTAAATTCTCGGGTTTTTATATGGATAATACAACTATATACTGTACCTGTACATTCTTTTACATTAAACACCACCTACAGCAACAAACTCTGACAGACAAAAACCCATAGAGAATGATCCAGCCGAGGCCATCCTCAAATTTATGCCAAAAATGTGACAGAGAATGAGGGAATACAACCAGAGATGCCAGTAGGACCAAATAATGCAAGGAACATAGTGATTCAGATATGTAGAATTGACCTTAGCTTGTAACCCAATGAGCTAAAATTAGTGACAATCTTTAAATCAAAGCTAATTCCTAATAGACATTTGGGTAACGTGGATGACTTCGAGCGTAGGTCCCAGAAAGTTCTCAAAACAAGTCCAATCTTGGTCCTAAGGGTCCTGGATGTGAGGGTCAATACCTGAACCATGTTAGGGTGAAACAATGCACAAATATTCTACTTACACCGTTAACAGTTGCCAAAGCGAGACCTGCAAGAGCAGTACTGACGTGGCCTTTGGTGAAGACGCAGATGATGGTGACGGCAAGAGTGACACAGACGGCCATAAAATCCATTCGGTAAGTGAACCAACGATTTGAGAGGCGAAATATCAGCAGCGCGGCTGAGTGCTTGTCCAGATAGTTGTACATCCTATAGAGGTAAAGCAAAGAAAGATTATATTCAAGTCCAGTAACTCTAGTGCTTTATTCGAAGTACAATTCATTATTAACAAAGCCTAAATTTTCCACTAATTACCAAAAAATTAATTATAAGCTTATAATTTCTGCAAGCACTCATTCCTTAAAAAAAAAATAAATAAAAAATACACCATGAAAACAGCAAAACCAGAAACTAATTTCACTAATAAATATTCAATGGAATCATCTAATCTCTTTAAATGGCATTTTTACAGAGAATGAACTAGGCAATATACTGCATGTAGGACTTCCAAGTAATGTACTGTACTGTACTCTCTTAACTGTCAAGGCAGGTCAGTACTCCCTGAGGTTATCAAAGATTATCTGCCTACTTCTATGGTCTTGATTTTATTTTTTTCCCCGAGACTCAACATGCAGACAGTAAATCTCCAACAGCTATAAATGTCTTTGTACATAATGAAAGCTGCAACATTGGGGTTAACTCACCTTTTGATAAATAACTTCTCCTTATCAAAGGTCCGGATGACATTAAGACCAGACACAGATGAACCTATGTGCTGAGTGACGGGTGACTTCAAGGTGTTATCCAAACGTTTCATCTCACGAATACCAGCGTTTAGGAAAACGTCAACTATGAAGAACAAAACTGTACAAAAACAAAATGTTCACAATTAGGAAAATCAAGTAAAGATGGCATCACAGAAAATGATGAATGATTCAAAGAGGTACAGTAATTCATATACTGTACTGTATGATGTTTTATAAGGATTATACCAGAATCCGAGCACATGATCTTAAGTCCATAACGATAGTATTAAGGGAGAATTAAAAGTACCTGCATGATGGTTGGAAAGGCCCAAATGGTACTTAATAGTGCAATAGTGTGAAGAAGTGTAGCAGTGTCTGAAGGTTATATTAATGGGTTGTGGATAATGATTCTAATGAGAGAAACACCTTACTTACCTGCAACTAACAGAAGTGGTATGACAAACCAAATGTAGATGAAGCACACCAGGATAATCTGCCCCACCACAAAGAGAATACCTTGCAACAAGAACTCCAGGAAGAATGGCACACGCACATCAACTGTCGGCGTGGAAAAGTTGGAGCAACTTCAAGTTTGGTAAATAAATACATTTCAAATTTTTTATCACAAAACACACATGATAGATATGCTCCATGATTAAATTTCCGGTATCCATAGTGTGCTGTGTGAGTTGTACAAGTGTTTGATAATCGAGGGGACTTACAAGAATTTCTGAGGTCAAGGAACACACAAGACATTCATGTAGATAAAGAATGATTCACTCAAAAAGAAAATCCTACAGGGAGAGAAGGAAAAAAAAATAGACTACACGTACTCAGTACAGGGGGTATAACAAAATGATAACCTATTGGTTGGATTCATCATGTAGTTTGTGAGTTCAAGTCTCTTCATACATAATTCTGTACTGCAACTTTTTCAACTTTTTTGTAGGTTTCTCCATTTTATCTTAATAACTTTATGTCAAGATAAAACAAAGAATATGAATATAAATATTCCTGGACACTTACGCTCATCAAGATCTCTGGAGAATCTGTTCAGTATCCGTCCAGTTGGGGTTGTGTCAAAGAAACTCATCGGTGACCGGAGGATGCTGGTAAACATGGCATGATGCAGTTTTGAAGCACCAGCCAAGACTCTGAAAGAAACAGAGAAAATTATGATTTTCCATAAACAATAACATTAGTAGGATAATATAATCATCTATGTCCCAAGACTATTAGTTTAATCGAAGGAAGTTCAAGTTGATATTAATTGAAACATATTACAATTTAGTTTTGATACCATATCTACTGGTGTGGCTTACTTAATATTGGGTGCATCACTTACAGGGAACACAATAAGGGATGGATATTTTAAGATATGTTTTACTCAGGCAGAGTAAATAAATCTGTGCTGAATGTAATCCCTTTACTCCTATTTTACTTAACACTGTAGTTATTAATTTCCATATAATTTCATGAAACATTTTCCATACCTGAAGGTCACTCCGATGCCTTTGATAAGACCAGTGATGAGGAGCAGCACAAAACTGAGGGCATACACTAACTGGTACATCCACAACATTGGATTTTGTGTTATGTCACCCTTTAACTCTTCATCTGATAAAGTGATGTTGTATTCTGTTAAGTTCATCCTTCGTTCTTCTTCCAGGCCGTCACCCTGCAGATGAAAATCAAGATTAATAAACTGTACTTCAACACTTCTCACTGCATTACAACAATACTTAATAGACTAAAAAATATTGTCAATCTTTAACTAATCTTTCTCCTATATATATATTTTTTTTACATATTTTCTATGGAAATGAACACATCTCATTCTGCATGTTCCTGTTATAGTACTGCTCTATATACAGTATAAATATTTAGACATAACTTACTCAGGTAACTTTACCTGATCAAGCCAATATTGTAGCCAGACTGCATTGAACATTCTCGTTAAAGTAAAGACAATGATGGCAAAGATGATTATATTTGTTATGCACCATCCTCCACTGACCTGTTGGAGAAACACCATATTAAGAAACACTGTACACTCTATACAGCACTCAATATCTGACACTTTACATGAACTACTGGTGACATCTGATAATGACAACAGCAGATACCATTAGTGGCTAGATATTTTGTCAGAGCTAAATAGAAGAAGATTGATGAATTCTCTAACTTTTTTGGAAGGAATGGGGAACAAGAAAATATCTGAGTGCATGAATTAGTAAGGAATAGATCCTTAACCTCTTCACTACAGGATGACACTTTTAAAATATTATTTGACTAACACCAGACGAGTTTATTCAGCACATGAAGATCTCCGTACACAAGTGGGTGAAGAGGGACAGATACTGTGTGACACCACTTCTTATTCTACAATAATGATATGAGCCAAAAGCAGACGAGTTATATACAAAACAAAAATATTCTCACCTTGATAAAAGTCAGGTAAACTTTGTTACTGACAGTCCCCGTTCCTCTGGTCTCCTCTGTGATCAGTTTGCCATTTCCCACTGTGTTCTCTTTGTTGTCATTGTCTTTTTTTTCTGAGATGCAAGAGATGATAATAGTTACATTTCCTAATTATGATAAAACATTCAAATTAATTAGTCTTTACAAAGCCAAACACTGGACAGACTACCTGCCTAAATGACTAGTAAACTGATAAGTGGTGGAAAGAAATCGTATTGAACATATCTATAAAATGTGTTTGATGTGAACTGTAGTTAACTTCTGAAATAACCTGTAAAAATGGATCCAGTAATTAAGGTAGTGGAGTTACAGACGAAATTAAACAAATATTCAGTAACTTTTCATTCAGGCAATATGTACCTTCCCTTTTTTCTCATTCAATATAGAAGGCAAAGGGCTTTTAATTCTTTCTCCTTGTTTGAGTCTTCTCTCAACTCATGCTTACTTACTAAATATCCCTCTTTCATATAATGATCTCTATAAAGCAGTAACAATCAAAGTTTTTACTGAAAAACAAATTAAAATAAATTACCATTCTATCTTGTTTATTTCTTTCACTTTTATATTTGTGTACAAAAATAATTGGCAAGGAGGGAGGGAGGTGGTGTATGGAATGGTAGATTTGGCAGTGTTGCATAGAGGTGGCAGATAAAAGTCTGCAATTTTCTTTCCACACGGCAAATTAATTTTCTTAGTTTTATTATGAGGCAGGGACTGCTTACACACCCTCCCTGTCTGAATTCATCTTGTCAACAACATTACATAAGCTATGAAATAAGGAACTTGTGGTTACATCTTGAACCGTCAAAAGTCACTAAGCTAACTGGATTTCTTATGATTTGGTGCCGAGAATCAAACAAGTTTTCCAGTGTGCTAGTGCCAAGTTCAACATACAGTACAAAATTGGTTGAATGTATTTGATACTGTTTTTTTTAAGGTATCCTTCACTGAAGTTAAATTTATTTAAAAGTACAGGGGGTCCCCGACTTACGAACGCCCGCCAATAAAAATGGGGTTAAACTTGAAATTTATAGTATTCTATTTACCTGATGACTTATCTTTTATTTTCATTTACTGTATTTTGTCATTCTATTTTTTCTTTTGTCTCAAATTAAGTGATCTTAGAAGAATATAAGGACTTAGGCTATAATATAGTGAGAATTTAAACTAGGTTTTGTAAGTACCGTATGCATATAGCATGTGTTCCTACTTACATACAAATCCAACTTAAGAACGTCCTCATGAACAGAACCCATTCATAACCCAGGGATCCCCTGTAAGTCCAGATAACACTGACTAATGAGAGAAGTTGCTAGGTTAGTAAGCAGTCTTGTTCAAAAATGCATGAAGATTATGTTAGTGGACATATTTGTATTAATTTTATCTAAAGTGTTAGGCATAGCAGCAAGTTCTTAAGAAGTGGTCATCTAAATAAAAAGTGAAATATTTACTCTGTTTATTGCAACACCTTCAGCCGAACTAAGGCATTAATTGCAGCTATAAGCTATTACAGTTCTCTGGCATCTATTGTTTTATCTACAAGTGTTCAGTGATAAAGGTGTTGTTAATACTGTTAGTTCAAGCTCCTCAACCTTAAAAGCAATCAGCCATGTCATTTCACTTACTTTTCTTGGCATTATCAGCTTTCTTATCTAAAAAAAAGTAAATTTAAAAAAGTTAGTTTATAACACTCGTTATTAGAGGTGAGCATGAGGATATTTTTCATCATGCAAAACTCGTGGAGTTTCAGAAGCTAAGGCACATTAGTTAACATACATCAAAACACAAATTACTGTACAATATTTAATGTTAAAATCAGCAGAACCAAGCAATGGGACTCGTAACTACTGTATTAGTACGTCAAGTCTGTCAAAGTTTTTATGTGTATAACCTATTTCATCTTATACTTCATCTTATACAGTACAGAATTTGTACACTATCTAGGAGCCCTATGCCACATGATCAGCTTTAAGCATATATACATCAGTTGAAAAAACTCTGTACAGTACAGCTATTTAACACCAAAGGGTTAAACTTAAGCCTCTGAGATGTAAGTGTACGTTAAAAGCCTTATACCAGTGGTCCCCAACCTGCGGGGTAATTAGTGATCGTAATGATGCTAAGGTGCTCCAGTGTTTTCCTTTTCATGTGTGGTTTTATCGAGATATATACGTACCCCCTGTATATATGTTTTGGGGGGGTTGTTGTTCCATAACTAATTCGTCCAGTGAGGAGAAAACAGCTTCGGGCTTCAAGGCTGCTTGGGGTAGACTTACTCTGGCTCTGGAGATCAATTTTTCCCGGTTCCTATAAATGTTGTGTTATGGTCTGTGCCTTTCAATAGAATTGATTAGTTATCCCTTATGATACTACCATACTCTGTCAGTTCAATAGATGCTTTTGTATAAATTATTTGTTTACATTTATAATACTGTAGTTAGGATGATTATTCATATTTTTTCAATAATCAAGAAAAAGTTTTGGGATCTCTGCTACATTTACAATGATAAATGTTACCTGGAGCTTACAAAAGGTTGGGGATCAGTTCCTTACACTATGAGTTTCCTGTCAGTTTATTCCTCTCAACAGATAAACTAATTAGAAAATGTATATTGATATCACAGCAGAGGATGCTTGAATGACCATTTTCTGTGGCAGGCTGGGCACTCACCTGCTAGTCATCATCACATATTCATAGCTCCCCCCCATCTTTAATTCTAATCACACAAAACCACAATATCCCACACTACCATCTACCCATTCACTCAATTACTTTTCCCTCAAATACCATCGAAGGATTTATTATGAGTGAAAATTATTATAAAATGGAAAAAATATAAATAAAATTATATATGCACCAAGTAAGAGCTCTTTCAAGGCCAGACATGACCAACACTGGAGCAGGTTCTGATATATTCATGAGCCAGTGCATGCCCGGTACTTGTCAACAGTGTGTATCAGAGACATGACCGGCCGCCCAAGTGGCTAACGAGCCGATCAGTGGTGAAAAGGTTAAAAGAAAAAGTAATACTGAAAAATTTTCACCGAATTTCACACTCACCAGATTCTTGTTCTTCATTCGCTTCCAACTTCTCCTCAGCTTTGTCTCTATCAGGAGTAGAGTCAAAGCCAATCATATCAAAGTATTCCCCCTTCCGAGCTATGAGTTCAGCATGAGTTCCACGTTCTGCAATCTTTCCTTCTTGCATAAGGATAATCTCATCACACTTCTCTAAGAACTGAAAAAGAGAATTTAATATATTTAAGAGCACAAGATACAGTAAAATCTCCATTACCCGGAAAAATTGGTGCTGAGCACTTCCGAGAATGAGAGATTTCCGGATAACGAGACGACTCTCTCGAACCCGGAAAAATATCCTTCATCCTCGGAATTTTCCGGGTAAAGGAAAATGTTTTCGGAAGTTCCAGAAATTGCCCATTACATCATCTCTCAAACCCAGAAAAATATCTTCCAGCCCCAGAATTTTCCGGGTAACGGAAAATTTTTCTCGAAATTTCCAGAAAATGCGCCTGATTTTCATCTCTCAAACCCGGAAAAAAAACTCCCCCATCCCCAGAATTTTTTTGGGTATAGGGAAAATTTTCTAGGCATTTTCCGGAAAATGTGCCCCTCAGAAAATCGTTCCTAAAGCTGGAATTTTCCAGAAAATTCCAGCTTTAGGAACGATTTTCCGAGAAAATTTAAATTCCGGTTACAGGAGAGTTCCGGGTTTGAGGGACGTCGGTTAACGGAGATATTAATATACAGTACATTCACAGACTCAAGAGGAAATACAGTATTGTATTAAAGTTCCCATAAGTAATAGGTAATAAAATCATATCACTTGCAGGGCTGGCAAAAACCATTAGTTAAAATAGAAAAATAAAACACTTTTTAATGCTATTATCTTGGTTTAATAAGTTTAAAGTACTTGTAGCCCTTTTTCTAACATTTTAATAAGCTATTAATCATAAACATTACATCCTTAACCAAAATGTAAAAGTAAAAGAACTCCTTTGTATAAATTTGAACAAAATCTATATTTTTGATCTCACAAACTGATGGGTAATAGATAAAATGCCTTTTCTCTGGAAACTAAAAACTGACGTGTTTAGACCATATATCACTGAGAAAGGGATATAATGGCGATTTAAAACTTATGGGCACAACGTAATTGATGTCTTAAATATTCTATATATATTAAATTATTTCAAGTCTTATTAATTAATGCTAATTACTGTGCTGGAACACTAAACATCAAAACTGAGAAATGTGAACAAACATTTCATGAACAAACAAACAAGCATGAATACAGTACTACCCCGCTTAACGCGGTTTCACTTAACGCGATTTCGCATATACGCGGTGCCTCGCCAGAACCGAACTTTCACTTAACGCGGTTCATCTACCCATATACGCGGGAAGCGGCGTGGGCACGATGCGCACAAGGTCGCCCAGTCATCAAAACATTACCGAGTTCTTCACCCGCCACCCACCACAGCCGGCCCAAGTCAGTGATAGTGATAATCATAGTGAGGATATGGACTTATATGGACTTTGAGGGGTTTGACAAAGAGGCCCTGCAAGCCTCTGTGGTGGATAGTGATACAATTGAAACAAGTGATACAGGTGAGGGCCAATAATCTGCCCTCTGCCTCGGAACCAACCCCCCATCCCCGTGTGCCCAGCCATCTTTTCTACTAATGTAAGTGTTAAAAAACCTAATATTATTGATATTTCTCTTAATTATTAATTGTGTGTGCATACCATCATAAAGTTAAGATAATGTTTTTACTACAACATAGTTGTGTGTCGTCAAAAAGTGGAGTTTGGGGGTCGGGCCAGTCTCTATTGGAATTAATCCCAAATGTTCTGTTGTTCACTAACGAGGTTTTCACTTAACACGGTACCCTGTGGGTTCAATTGACTGCGTTAAGCGGGGTACTACTGTACTGTACTTACATGAGGAGCGTGAGTAACAAAGATAATTGTCTTATCAGCAAGTGCTTCTTTTATGCAGTAGTTGAAGATGTGCTTTGCAACTTTTGTGTCCACAGCACTGAGTGGATCATCCATCAAGTAAATGTCCCGGTCACTGTAAACTGCACGGCCCAAATTAACTCTCTGTTTCTGGCCGCCGCTGTAACAATTGAAAATGCCATATAATTCTGAATAAAGAGTAAGAAACAATAAGGCAGAGCAGAAGCAAATACAGTATTAAATTTTTAATGGTAGTCCCTATAATAATAATAATAATAATAATAATAATAATAATAATAATAATAATAATAATAATAATAATAATAATAATAATAATAATAATAATAATAATAATAATAATAATAATAATAATAATAATGAAAATAATGAAAATAATAATAATAATAATAATAATAATGAAAATAATAATAATAATAATAATAATAATAATAATAATAATAATAATAATAATAATAATAATAATAATAATAATAATAATAATAATAATACTAATGAAAATAATAATAATAATAATAATAACAGTAATAATAATAATAATAATAATAATAATAATAATAATAATAATAATAATAATAATAATAATAATAATAATAATAATAATAATAATAACAGTAATACAGGTTGTACCTCTCTAGTCCGGCAACCTCGGGACCTGACCGGTGCCGGACCATGGAAATTCACCCTTTTCCTGGATAGATAGTGACTTGTGCTTATGCCTGGAAGCACTAGCACCACTTTCTCTGCGTCATGGTCTCTTTGAAGACATATTGAAGGGTTAAATGTCGTATAGTAGCTTCTCAAATTTCGCGAGTTTTTAATTCTTAACGTATTTTTTTGGAACACACAAAAAAATAAATAAATAAAAATTTTGACGGCGGAAACTTGAATTTCGACGGGTTTGAACGGCCCGCCAACGTGCAGACGACGTGCATAATCGTGTAAACAGCGTCATTTTTCTTATGTACAAAAGATTCATTGTTGTTTATTACTGAATGTCTTTTTTATTGAATTAATGTTTATGTGTGCAAAATGAGCAATAGAATTCATTAATAATACGTAGAATATTAAAACACACAAGGAAATGACACAGCATTGTTTTCGTTGATTACAAAACCAGTGACTGACTGGTTCTACATATAAAACTGAAGAAAATAAGACCTTGGTTGTAGCTGTAGTAAAATTAATATGGTTGTTTTAAGTAATGTTATTTAATGTTAATAAATGGAACAATAGAAGTAGCTAACGATAATGGTAAAGAAAAAGAGAGATCGCATATGTAAGTGCGCATGCGCACACGTGAAAACATATCGTCATTACTTTACATAAGAATATGAAAGCAACACTTATTTACTGTTCATATATATTTTAATTAATGTTTCTGAATTTGTTTTTATTGAATCAATGTACGTGTGTGCAAAATTAACAATACAATTTATTAATAATACGTGGAATATTAGAGGAGACGAGACGGCTGCCGGCATTGTTTATGTTAAAGCTTACGAAACCAGTGACTGATTGGTTCTACATATAAAACTGAAGAAAATAAGACCCTGAGTTTAGCTGTAGTAAAATTAATGTAAAAAATGAATATGGTTGCTTGAAGTACCTGTAATGTTATTTAATGTTAATAAATGGAACAATATAAGTAGCTAACCATTAATGGTAAAAAAAAAAGTGAGACTGCTCGTATGTAAGTGCGCACATGTGAAAATATATCGTCATTACTCTACATAAGAATATGAAAGCAACACTTATTTACTGCTCATATATATTGAAGGGTTAAATGTTGTACTCTGTATAGACAAGCAGAGAGAGAGAGAGAGAGCAGCCGAACTGCCGGATGTAAACAAACCTTAATTTCCCGCGGCTTTTTTTTTTTTAAGGGGATTAGCCCACCCGGGCATAGGTCACTGACCCACATTGGGGCCTGAGGGGCAAAAATTTAATACTCCTGTAATAATAATAATAATTCAGATAAGTAAAAAAAAAAGAAAAAAGCTGCCTATCTACCTATTGGACAAACTAAAATCGTTCCGGACCACGGGAGTTTCCGGACCACAGAATGCCGGACTAGAGAGGTACAACCTGTAATAATAATAATAATAATAATAATAATAATAATAATAATATTAATAATAATAATAATAATAATAATAATAATAATAAATGCCTATCACTTATGCTTTACAAGATACAGGGGGGTGTATAGTTTTTTCTTTAAATTGTCCCATAGTAGATATGAAAGACACTGCAGATTAAAGGAGAAATTTAATATTATTTCAAACTCACCTGAGATTAATGCCCCTCTCTCCAATCTCGGTCATTTCTCCATTAGCCAGGAGTTCTATATCAGATTCTAGAGAGCAAACATAGAGGGTCTTCTTGTATTTCTCTGGATCAAACATCTGGCCCACCAGGATATTCTCAAGGAAAGTGTCGTTGTAGATCCAGGCCTGCTGGGTCACCAAGGCCAGCTGTCCATTCACTTGCACACTCCCACCTTGTGTTTTCATCTGTTTAATAAATATCAAATGTTATTAATTATCAAACAAACTCTTGCTTCTGACTTGATATTCCGTTGCATTATTTTGCATCCTAAGTTTATTTTCTATTGGGTACAGTATCAATATTATTCATTTTAATACTGTAGTACAGTCAATTTTAAGCGGAAGTTAAGTGTCATTCTGTCAACTTTATATTGGCTGCATAAAATTTATTCTAAGTACTACTGTAATAATTATGACAATTCAGTAACTGATAGTAATACAAAACATACTAAATGAAGTCTACAAAGAAATACTGTATACTTTAACTGATAAAAATCATTATTCTAAGACTGTTATATTGCAGGTCAAGATATGAAGCAATAGATATGTAAATAAACAAAGACCTTACATCACCACAGATTGCAGATATAAGAGAACTCTTCCCAGAACCTATGCTGCCACAGACACCAATAAGCTTGCCACGTTCAACAGAGAGGTTGATGTTGAAGAGGGTTTCCACACTCTTTACCAGATCTGTGTTGCGTTCCTTTGCTGGGCTGTTTGTAGTACCATTAACATGGCCGCTGGTGACAAGGCCATTAGTATGAAGTCCTGTTCCATTGACTGCACCATTCTTCTTCACATCTGAAATACAATAAACTGTATTTATAAGCCACCAAACATCAAAGATTAATCCCGGAAATCCTATTCTAAAGTAGAGCTCACATAAAAAGACTTGATATTTCTACCCATAAGTCTAACCCAAGCTTAAACCCTTAATATTGATGGATAGTTCAAACAAACAATTAGTTATTCGCACGTGCATGTGTAATTGTGTGTGTGTGTGTGTGTGTGTGTGTGTGTGTGTGTGTGTAAGAAAAACTTGAGTAGTCTACTGATAAGCCAAGAGTAACAGATGGGTGGCTCAGGACCTAGAAAACTGAAAATCCTAATAACTGGTTCAGTCTTGATCCCACAAGGGTCTCTGATTTAAGGGTCTATATCTTTACTTCAAAGCAAATTTAAGTTGTGATTATTCATTCATTTATGATACTGTAGTTACTGTATATGTTAACCTTACCGGGCTTCTTTTTTTCCTTCATATCTTTAGATGGACTTCCGCCAGATTTTCCTTGTCCTTTGAAATCAATATTGTAAATTTCCCAAGAAAAAGTAGCATTTTTCATCTGCAGCGCCAAATTATTGTTGAGTAAACCTCCTGCACGCTTCTGATGTTCCGGCAGCTCCAGTAGTTTCTGTGGATAATCATATTATTTTTATTCATCTTAATTGAATGTTTTTATTAGCTATAAACAAGGACTGTCCATTCTACATTATTATTACACTCTTATTCTCATCAGCCCCAATTGGCTTGGTAGACATTGACCTGCAAAGTCCTCTTCCTATACATAATGTGTACTGTAGTTTATTACAACCTGTAGAAGCTTACATCATTATGAGAGAATGTCACCAATACTGGAACTCAAAATTTCAGAAATACAAGTTATAACTATATGTCCTTTATTTAAAGATAATATAATACCCTATAGTATTTGATTATGTATACTGTGTGTGCTTTGTATTTGTTGAAGAAAAAAGTTGATAGTCAAGTCTAAGTTGGAACCCAAAGAACTAATGGGTACAAGTCAAAGAACTAATAGGCACAAATCAAAGAACTAATGGGCACAAATCAGAAGAACTAATTGGTACAAATCTAAAGTCTCTTGAACCAGCAGAAGTCAATAACAAACACATACCTGAATCCTATCCAGAGATATTTTAGCTTCTGCAACTGAACGCACAGTGAATGGAAGAACGCCGACCGTGAACTGCATGGCATTGAAGACTGAAAATATGGTGAAAGCCTCGGCAGACTTCAGTGTGTTACCTGTCAATGTAATGTAAACAATAAAAAATAGTTCAATATAATGTGTCACAAGTAGTTTCTATTTTTTAAACAAGTAATAGAATTCAGTTGTATTCGGAACTGTATCTTTTTATTGAAGTTTGTGATTATTTTATGCTCACTATAAAACTACATACCCTGTACTGTACTAGAAGGTAGTAGGCAGCTATCAAACAGGGAGGTACTACCATCTAGGAAGATATTAGAAGCATAATGTGTTGTCTAACGGTAGACCCTGCTGCCATATGGCATCACAAAAATTGTGACCAAGTCCCAGGTTGCTGATCTGACTTTCTGCCTCATTTACACACAATTGCAGGTTCTCAATTGTCACTCTTACTGTTAACAACACAACATACATATATCATTTCTCACTATTGATATTTTAATTTCTTGTTTTTGTATTTATTCATGGCTCTTTATTATTACAGGGGGTATTATTTTATTAATATATCATTATCATTATTATTATTATTATTATTATTATTATTATTATTAATATATTATTATTATTATTATTATTATTATTATGATTATTATTATTATTACAGTATTTTCTTTTATAATAATTGCTATTTATTAAATATATTTTTATTATTATCATTATTATTATTATTATTACCATTACAGTGGTCCCTCGGTTAACGAGCACAATCCGTTCCAGCAGGTTGCTCATTAACCGAAAAACTCGTTAACCGAAACCATTGTTTCAATGGGTTTTTGGGTAATTGGTTCCAGCTCACCGAAAATTGCCTAAATTCAACAAAAAAGGTAGAAAAGTACACTTACTTTGAGGTGTATATGTAGAAGGCTCCTGGATGATGATGATGATGGGAATTAGAATGGGGGTGGAGGAGAAGGAAGAAGAGAAGGCATTGGGGTGGAAGAGAAGTCACCCCATGGCACCATTTCACCCATAAAATTTTAGTTCTCTTGGTGTATTTCAAGATTATTTTCTTTAAATCAACACTGCACTGCATTATATATTGTCAATATGTAAAATATATTTCAAAATGACCAATAATTTGCTTGGAAACACAGAAAAAAAGCTTTTAGTTGAAGAGAGTCTCAAGCAAGATGTTACCTCCACTGAAAACAGAGAGAGACTAACGCCTGTCTGGTGTGTTAACAGGCTGGATGCCACGCCAGAAACTAGTTTATTTACCTTCAATTATGTTCAATAATTGTTAAAATGGCTAAAAAAGTTAATATTAAACTTTTAAAATTATTGAATAGTATAAACTTCCTGACATTTACTAAAATAGTAAGGAATTTAAGCCCTAAAACCGATTACTGTATTGGCGGACTAATACTACAGCTGGTGGACCGCCAAATGCAAGCGAAAACATGTTGAAGTCGGCTTGTAAAAAACTCGTTAATCGAGGGATTGCTCGTTAACCGAAGTTAAGAATCTTATGGAAGGTAAATCGTTAACCGAAATCTCGTTAACCGAGGCGCTCGTTAACCGAGGGACCACTGTATCGTCATCATCATCATTATTATTATTATTATTATTATTATTATTATTATTATTATTTTATTTTATTATATTTTCGTCCCCCCAGGCTTTGATGTGGGTCATTAAAAATGACCCCTGCCCGGGTGGGCTAATGCCCTTAAAAAAAAAAAAAAAAAAAAATATGATCGCTTTCTTCATGGAACTTTAAATATCAATAAACTTTCTAATGTAGAGTATGAAAAAAGAAACTTCAAGAAAGAGAGGAAATGGCTGGGAAATCTAGTGCAAGATACAGTTAACTCAAGACATAACAACACCCTACACACACATCTCTTCATCGCACTAACTAATACAATGTAGATCCTTAGTCTCTACACAGATTACAATACTTCATATCAATTTAGTGCATAACACACTAAGTTGTCATAATTGTTCTTGGTAACATATGTAAGTCATCTGTACACAACCCACATCTATTCTTCAAACACACCATACACAAGGGAGTTACAGTGGGGTATGCTATAACGAATGGATTGTACTACGAATATTCCTATAACAAATGGTTTTACCTATAAAATTGAGAATGCTATTACGAACGAAACTCCTACAACGAATTTTTTTTTTTTTTTTTACTAATTAATGTTTTTTTTATTACAAGTATTAATGATATTCCTTATTTCAGGGGTTTAGATGCATATTTATGCACTTTTTTACAATTTTATATTATATTTTTCAGTGTTAAGTGGTTGTATTTGGGGGCCTGGAACAGATTAATCCTATAACGAACGAATGCTATAACGAACAAGGTTCTAGAACCAATTAGATTCGTTATGGCATACCCCACTGTAGTTGATTATCTCCACAAACTCCTTCACTATGGGGATGACACTTTTAATACTTTATTCTCCTTGATTAATACCAGGTTATTTTATTCAGTTCAAAGGGGACCCCGTAAACAAGGGGTTAAAGTGTGTTTTTCGTTCTTTACCCGAGAGAGTATATCCCAAGAAGGTGACAATGGCAGCTAGGATACTGATGCTGGGGATCACTGTAGAACTGACAGCCTGAAGCAGCGCCCCAATACGATGTTTCTTAAGCTCCTCCTTTCTGATCGCTGAGGAAAATAAAGTACTGTAAATCAAATGCTGGTAAAAGAATGCTGGTAAATTCATACGTCTGGGAAATGAATACCAGTAATTTTCGTTAATAAATAATTCTGGTAATTGAGGAGAGTAAAGGGAAAATTAAGAAAAAAATAAAGGTACAGTAAAGTAATGTTATTTTTTGCTACACAACAGAGACAACTCAGTGAAGATGTGTAAACTAATGTGACTTGACAAAAATAGTATCAACAAAGTCTACAAGAGCAAGGAATACCAGCATAAACTGAGGGAAAAGGAACAAACCTGCTATTTTTTGGGCGAAGGAATCTTCCCAGGAGTACATCTTAATGAGTCGCATACTATTGAGGACTTCACTCATGAGGGTTACCCGCTTGTCAGTAACTTTCACTGTCTCCACTCGGACGCTACTCTGTGCTTTGGCGATGCCTCCCTGTCGACAAGAATTACTTCAATACTTTAGTGTAATATGAAATCAATCTACAACAGATCTTTACCTGTGCGTACAAGCAATAAGTTTCTGCAGTAGATTTCTCAATACAGTGCAATATTGATTTTTTAGTTTGTAATTATGAGGTCGGCACACCTTATACAAACAATGTACTGTAAATAACTCAAAACACTTAAACAACCACAAATGCTGTAAAAAGTTGACTGTTTTAGGAAACTTTCCACCACCATTCCAATGTGACGATGCCATGTCTGCACCTACACCCTTTACTCTCCCATATATTGTACCTCCCTCCATTCTGAATTCTTTTTGTCCATACTGCACATGCCTTGCCCAATAAAATCCCCAAAATATCTACTAGCGCATTACATTTTTGTTGACATACCTGGTATTTCAGTTACTTTAATCACTTTTATGAAGAGGATAAAAGTAAAACATTTACCTTTACCTTGACTTACCATAATTGGGTAGAAGAGGATGTAGCATCCCTGGCCTAAGAGTGACCAAGGACCCAGGATGTACACACAGTAGATGACACTCATGGTGAACATCACAGGCATGGCTGAAATGACAACAGAAATTAAAAAAAAACAATTATGTACAGTAATCAGTTTACAACGCATTCATGGCCAGTTCATTTGGAATAAACCTTAAATAACACTGATAAAAGTAAAGTTTCATGCAGTCTAATCTTCTGAAAATATTAAAATAGATTAAAATAATTTGATAAAAATAACTGTTGATTCATAAAGCTACAGATATTAAAGGCTATTTACTGTCAAACGTGATACTGTATACAAGTACCATGGAACAAGTAGTGTACAAATTATGAAATGGAAGTTCAAAGAATGAACCACTATTGACAAAAGCCATAAATATACCTGGTACTCTTTAGCTTGTGAAATTATAACTACTAATGATGCAAACACAAAATGATTCCTGTTAAATCATTATGAATCTTATCTTTTGAGAATAAATGACTATACAATAACGTCAATTACTTAGCTGGCAAATGTAACACACAATAAGTGAATCAGGTAGATATGAGTAATAGACACATCAATATTTACTGGTATCTGTCAAATTGTACTAAAAATAAATTATGTACCGGTGATGAAAGCACAAGAGATACAGGCTTCAAAAAGTCTCTCCATATCATTGTTGCTGAAGTTGATGATCTGCGCTGAGAGTCGTTCACCTCCTGTTTTTAATTTGAGAACTTTCTTGTACATCATAGCTTGTACAGCGCCTGTTACTCTGGTCGCTGGAAAGCAAAGTTCACCGTCAAGGACCAAATTCTCACTCAAGCTTAGTCGTTACATGGTGATGATGATGATAGTGATGAGGATGATGATGACGAAAATGATGGAATACAGGACTGCACTAGGTAATAAAATCAAAAGAGGGAAGGCAAAATACATATCAAAATTTTAACACTGTATTGGCATAGCAAACAGTTCCGTCTATACTGTATACTTAGTAATTTACAATTCTTTTTGAGGATCTATTAAGTTCAGGCAGGTAGTTTAAGTACAGTACAGTTCTGTATATATCACTATCTCTTTAATTCCTTGTTTACAGGGTCCCCTCTAAGCTGAATAAAATCGTCTAGTGTTAGTCAAATAAAATATTAAAATGTGGCGTCTCAATGGTGAAAAAGTTAATATTCATGAGCATGACCTGAGAAAAAAGTCAAATACATTAGGTACAAAATTCATACATTCCCCTTCAAGTATATTACTGTAGTTATAAAAATAGTTATAAAAGTACAAATACAAACAGTAGATAATTATAACTTTGGAAAAACACAATTATGAGTAAGAATATACTGTAGTTTTCTGGCTCTGCACCCACCTGTGTGTGTTCCTACGACAAACATGGCATTGAACGTTGAGCCTCTACAAATGTTGATGACACCAATAGCAAGGACAATTAACGAGGCATACATATTATCCACCATGGGCTCGTTTATGTAATCTAACACGACCTTCAGCATTATCGACTGTAAAATAAAACATGCATTAGATTAACAGTTAAGACAGTTTTAGGTCTTATTGTATAAGTCACCTGGTATTGAATTATGAGAATTTTTTGGTTGAAATCAATATTTTTGACAATTATAAGAAACTTTTCTTCTATGACGCTTCCTTCGCAAATGACTTATATATGCCAAAGGGTCCCCCACCCCTCCAGTTAGGAGGTTAGGTTAGGTCATTTGATGACTATACCACTGACGTATTATTTGTTTTGATGTTTGTGGTACAGTTGTCAATATTTGCCAGCTTGGTTAGGTTAGGTTAGGTTGAACTTTTAAATAAACACTTTTTAGCACATTTGCTATAACTATGACAATGTTTTATAGTGATAAAACACAGTGAAATAACGGCATTTTTAAATTTGTTTTCTTTGAAAAATCAGCGGCGTTAAAGTCGTCAATAATTAACAATTTACTCAGTTCTGTACAGATGCAAAACTCTCAGTAAAATATTGTATTTAAACATCACCAAATATTCCAAATAGATACCAAATAGTGATATTTCTGTTAGCCAGAACAATTGGTGCAGAGCACTTCCGGGAATGAGAGATTTCCGGGTAATAAGACAACTCTCTCAAAGCCAGAAAAAATTCCTTATCCCTAGAATTTTCTGGAATTTTCCGGGTAACGGAAAAATGTTCTCAGAAGTTCCAGAAATTGCCCATTACATAATCTCTCAAACCCGGAAAAATATCCCCATCCCCGGAATCTTCCAGGTACCGGAAATTTTTTCTCGGAATTTCCGGAAAAGGAGCTTGATTTTCATCTCTTAAACCCAGAAAAAACCTCTCCCATTCTCAGCATTTTAGGAAATTTCCGGATACCCGAAAAATTTTCTCAGAATTTTCCGGAAAATGTGCCCCTCGGAAAATTGTTCCCAAAGCCGGAATTTTCTGGAAAAATCCATCTTTGGGAAAGATTTTCCGAGAAAATTTCAATTCCGGTTATCAGAGAGTTCCGGGTTTGAGGGATTCCAGCTAACGGAGATATTACTGTAGACATATGCGAGACTGTTGATTTATATAACCACAAACCATTAATGGGTATAAAACAAAAGCCTTACTGGTCCTAGAAACTGGAGAACATTCTGTATGATGGAAATGACCATGCTGACAATGACTCGGGTCTTCATGAACCTCCACACAGTTCGCCATAACTCTGGTTTTCTTTTGGTCTTTTCTGCCATCCCGATCTCATCCTCCCATAATCGCTCAAGACGCTCTGAATTAATTTCTGCCCCATCTTCAAGCTGATAAGAAGAAACAGTAATTTTATTAAATTTAAAATCAAGAACAACGAGAGAGAGAGAGAGAGAGTACAAAGATGACAATATCTTAATAAGTACAGTACAGTACAGTACTCGTATATGAATTACAGTACTTCTTACGGCTTCACGCAAAAAAATAAAAAGGTAAATGTTGAAGAAAAAAATACAATAAATAGGACCACTAATTTACATCCTATTTTTGAAAGTAAATGATAAAAGCCAACTAAACCTAAACTACCTTGACCAAAACTAAACTAGAAACATAAGGGTTTAGTAAATTTTAACTGGTTTATTTCGTAGAAAAGAAAGTCTAAGAAACTGTTCAAGGTATTCCAGTAACAGGGAAACACTTGTTGAGTCACCAGGAGGTACTGACACCTACCTGAAGGGACCACAAGTCGCCGGGTTGTAGGCCTTTCTTATAAGCACTCCACATAAGCCTCGTTAACCAACTCACACTAAAGTAACTAAACAGCCCAGCATTGTTACTTGGTAATAGGCTTTTGTCTCTGTAAAAGAAGTATAACGATATTAGTACATTAATGGAGTGGCGTATTAAAAATTTATGGAAAACTCGAAAAAAATGTACATTATTTTACATACTTCCGGAAGCCAACGACCAATTTAAGATCTTTAGCCACGTATTCTAGGTTAGTCATTTAGTACATACATTAGTGATCACCAACCAATAAAGTTACAAGGAATAATATATTTTTGTTCCTGCCATCTCTATGGTCATGGTAGTTTATTGTACAATGACATATGAAATGGCCCAATGTACTTTACTTTTTACTTTTATCCTCTACGCCACTGATCGGCTCGTTAGCCGCTTGGGTGATCGGTCACGTCTCTGTTACGCACTGTTGGCAAATACTGGGCATGCACCGGCTCCTGAATGTACCTGAACCTGCTCCAGTGTTGGTCAAGTCTTGTCTTGAAAGAGCTCACACTCGGTGCCGTCACAACACTCTCTGGTAGATTGTTCCAAGAGTTTACAACCCTCACTCCGAAAAAGTTTGCCCTCACAGTTTTCTGGACTTGCGGCTTCTTTAATCTTGAGCTGTGACCCCTTGTGGGGCGAGCGTCCTCCAGCTCCAAGTAAGGACACTCGACTGAGTAGTGCCCCCTGAGATGCTTATACACCTCAACTGGGTCACCCCTTGCCCGTCTGTAATATAAGCTAGGCAAGTTCAGGCGCTCCAATCTCTCAGGGTAGCTGAGGTGCCGAAGTGCAGGCACCAGTCCGGTGACCCTCCTTTGAACATTTTCAACCAACTGACAGTCCTTAGCATATCTCGGGGACCAGACGGGATGACAGTACTCCAGATGGGGAAGCACTTCACTCTTGAAGATCGTCACGAGGGGCGGACCGTCTAGATATCTGAACGACCTTCTTATAAGACCCAATAATTTATTTGCCCGGTTTACCTTCTTCTCGCAATGGCTCGAGAACTTGCATCTCATTGTCAACATACACACCTAGGTCCTTCTCACACACAATCTCAACCAGTGCAGTTTCTTCATCCCGTTGGGACATATGATACGCCTCCTTACTGTTGGTACGCACCAGGTGCATCCTCTTACACTTCGTGACATTGAATCTCAGCAGCCATTTCTTCGACCATTCCTGGAGCCCACAGAGGTCCTTCTGCAGCTCTTCACAGTCCGCTTGGTTCTTAATTTCCCGAAATAACTTAGCGTCATCGGCAAACATTTGTATGGAGGAGTATACAACGTCAGGCATGTCATTTATGAAACAAACAAACAAACAACAGCGGGCCCAATACACTGCCCTGTGGTACCCCACTTGTGACAGGTACGGATGACGATTTCGTGCCATTAATCACCACACACTGTTTGCGGTCATGTAGAAAGTCTTCTATCCATGCTAGGACATTTCCCCGAATTCCGTACCCTTCCAGTTTGATTTTCAGCCTTTCATGGGGTACACTGTCAAAAGCCTTGGCAAAATCTAGGCAAATATTGTCGATATTACCACCCCGTTCCAGAATATGGGTCCAAGTATCCAATACCTTGAGCAATTGTGTTAAGCAGGAGCGCCCCGGCATGAAACCGTGTTGGCAATCCTTTACAAGATTGTTTCGTATTAGATGTTCCATTGCGGCATCTCTGATAATACTCTCAAGTACTTTACATATTATGCTGGAGTGACGATCGCCCTTCTTGAAGATAGGACTCACATGAGCCATTTTCCATTCACTGGGGACCTTTTGTTCATCCAGGCATTTACAAAACAGGATCTTCAGGGGCTCGGCAAGCTCGCTGCTCAACTCTTTTAGCACTCTAGGATGCACCATGTCAGGGCCGGGACTCCTATGGACCTTTAGCTTTGACAGTTTATTTCTAATACCCTCTTCTGTGAACACAATGTGGGTCAGTGCTGTGTCCAACCGTCTGTCCTCAAACGCAGGAAGGTTAATCGCATCCCCTCTTGTGAACACCGAGGAAAAGAAGCTGTTCAATGCCTCAGCTTTATCTTGGTCAGAATCTGCGTAACTACCATCTTCATGCCGGAGGTCTGATAGGTCTACTCGCGTTTTTAATTTTGATTTTGCATAGCGGTAAAACGCCTTTGGGTTTGACTTGACCTCGCTTGTAACCAGCCTCTGGAACTCCTTTTCAGCCCTCCTACACTCTATCTTTGCTTGGTTTCTGGCTCTTGCATACATCCTCCTGTCTTGCTCATCGTTTGACCCAACCCAAGTCTTGAATTTCTGGGTTTTCTTCATAATTTTGTCGACCACCGCATGGTTCATGTGTAGGGATCCCCTCGTATTCCTAGAAGCACTGGGATTGGTCTTGGGTATATATTTATCGTTCAAATGGGTCACTTTACTAGTTATGATATTCAGCGAAGTGTCTGCATTCTTGTACCTTAATGAGGCAGGCCAGCTGATACCATTCATCTCTTCCCTTATCCCATTGTAATTTCCCTTGTAATATTTGCACCTTAGCCTGGCGCTGAACTAGGTAACAGTTAAATCTGAATGACAACACTATATGGTGACTGGTGCCAACTGGGGCAAGGTGTTCCAGTTTGGCCACCATACCCTCCTCGTTTGTCATGATGAGGTCAAGTGGCTTGGGTGTTTGCTCCCCTCTGTAATGTGTCGGGTCTAACATGTTGGAACAGAAAATTATCTCTCAGAGTTTCTACAAAAAGAGTAGCAGGGTTATTCAAGTCATTTGGGGTGGACTCGTTTCTCCAGTCGATGTCGCCATAGTTAAAGTCCCCCATGATAAGGAGGTGGCTAGGGTTGAGCATTGCCGCGTTGTTTATTAAGGTTCTTAAGTTCCTTTGATTTAGTGGGCCACAGTTTGGGGATCTGTAGATACACCAGGACGATAAGTAAGTCCCCCCCCCCACCCTTTAATTTAATTTTACACCACTTGGACTCTTCAAAAACATCCTCTCCCTGTACCCTCGCTTGGCTGGTTCTAAGGTCTTGCCTAGCATAGATAACCACAACCCTCTTGCAAGTTTCTTGAGAAAGGTTCGTAAATGAGTCATATCCAGCAATACTGAACTCACATTCCTCTGGGTCAATTCTCCTGTTCTTGTACAACAGTTCTACAACTCCTACGATATCTGGTTGGTGTACTCTTAGTAGGTACTGTTATTATTTTCCAAATGGCCTGGTGTCAAGTTTGTTAATATGACATAAATGATATAATTGGTGTGAGTGTAATAATTATAAATATAATAACTAACGGATCATTGAAAAAGTTCTGCAGCCCGAAGGCTGAAAATATACATTGGACATAAATGACTAATTACATACATTGACATGGGGGAGTTAATGTAAGCCTTCATTAGAGAAAGGAAAGGGAGCAAGCAGTGAACATACAAATTAATGTTTACAGTCGAGGTCACGTAAGTTATGTGCGCTGAGGTGTTGAATAGCAAACACGTAGTGTAGTAACTCCCTCACAGATGGTGTTATGAGGTACCTCACGTGGTGTAGTAACTCCTCCACAGATGGTGTTATGAGGGGCCTGATGTAGTGTAGTAACTCCCCACAGATGGTGTTATGAGGGACCTGGTGTAGTGTAGTAACTCCCCCACAGATGGTGTTATGAGGGACCTGGTGTAGTGTAGTAACTCCCTCACAGATGGTGTTATGAAGGACCTGATGTTGTAATGACCACGGTCATATACGTCAGTTAACGTAGAATCAGACGATTCATATTATGCTCAATAGCCCACAAATCATGTAGCTATGCTTTCTTATTGACGTTCCCAACCTGAAGAGTCCGTTTTCTCAGCGCTTCAGGACGCCTGAGTCTGCCGTTTTCTCTCAATCTTGAATGTACCTGAGACTTCATTATTCCTTAGTAATGACAGAATTTGAAATTGCAACTGTGGTTGCAATTGGTGAGGCAACTTAGATACGTCTGTTTACAGTTGGAACATGCAAGATCCTTTGTGAGTGGTGTTGAAAGCTTCAACTGTCCTTATTTTATAACGTTCGTGGGAGTATCCTGAATTACCGATCGCTACTGAAGATAATTTTGTCGCCCAAACATCAGAGAATCTGATGTTTATAGTTTAGTTAGTGTCAGTTGTCTATTTAAGAAAGTCATTAATCTCCTGAACAGTTCCTGTCAAACTCGAAAATATCCAAGACTTAACGGCTGTTTCGGCCTGGGCTGTGGTTTGCGGTCAGGCGAGGAGAGTTGTTAGTACATATATAACTCCATTTCACCTCTTTCCTGACAAACTCAGTCTCTGATTAGATCATAAAGATAGACGTAGAAAATTAGCCTGATCTGTGACACTGACGGTCACAGCTAGGTGTCCAACGACTACTTTGAATAGAAGGTCTATTGTTAGTAAAATAAGTCTTTCTTGTAGGGATATGCCCTCAGGCCCGTATATATGCCGACGCGCAGGGAAAAATCACTCCCTCTGTGATTTCTCCTCCACGTCTCCAGGTATGTAGATGATTGTTTTTCGCCGCCATGTTAATTTAGTTTAACTTAGTCGATTTTTGTGAATATCAGTGTTCATGTTTTAACATAGTAACTTCTGTGCCAATTAAGTCGAGCGTAGATATTTAGATGTCGTCTGGACCGTTGCCAGACGCATGTTTTGTATAGTGAAATTAAATATTTACGCCCTCTGTGATTTCTCCTCCACGTCTCCAGACGCTGTTTGTGTATTGGCAACACGACTGAGGTTCGGGAGCCGCCTATGGGCAAGATGGCTCTCGAAGGATGTCTTAAAGGTGGCGAGATTAGAATCCCAGGGCGAGATTCCTTGGCAGACGCCACGGCCCACAGCCACGAGTCAACCCTTCCCGGGCCAGGCGCTCTGAGCTAGCGAGGGAGCCTGTAAACAACTTTGGCCCGCTGACTCCGTCGTGTGATCGTGGTCATCTAGTGTTCTTGGCTCTATGTATGGAGCCGTATTAATATCCATGCTTGTGGATGACTAGCAGAAATACAGTCATACCAGGTTAAGTATTGAATCCATGAATGTTGGTGGTTCTAGGGTGATTGTTATTCTCGGAGTTGAGTCCACCAAACCACTGAATACTCGTTAAAGTGTCACGTTAGTCATTCTGAAATAACATGTTGTTATAAAGACTATTTTAATTCAGGATAGTGTCAAGGGTGTCATATTATCCACTTGCAGTGACAATGAAATAATATAAGGATTGTTAAATGTTGTAACCTAGAATTGAAGATGTCATTTGTTACTGATAAAAGTAAGACCTGAGGGTCCAGTGTTATCTTGTGTATAATAATTACTGAATCTCATTTGTCAGAGGAATAATACAACAATTGTCTAATTAAGTAATAAGTACTTGGAGGTGTTTTAATGATATAATAAGTACTTGAAGTGTTTCATGAATTAATAAGAAATTGTGGATCTATTTTATCAATGATACAGTCTTGTCTGAGTGAATTTAAGTAACATCTTATTCGCTCACTGTGTTAATAAATATTGAGTTAGTAATCTACAAGTATCACCACTCTATTCCTTCTAAACATTGATTCCCAGAAAATAATACTTACTAACGTGCCTATACATATCCACCACACTACCAAAGTTGTCCATGAGTTATGTTATATTCTAACCAAAAGTCTGGTGGTGGCAGCCTACTTGTAAGTATAATAAGTGTTGTACTAAGAATAACATGGTTCCCAGACTAATCCATGTATGAGAATATAAGTAAAAACAGAGTATACTTCAGAAAGGTAAGGACATATAAATTCAGAAAATATAATGTACAGTATATGAAAAGAAATGAAAGACTTGGAAAGTACAAGAAAAGAACGATAAGACATGTATGTACATTGTGGAACTAAAGCCACAGCATAGAAATTTTTAAAGAAATACACCATGAAAGTTTAATATAAAAAAACATACATAACTAAGACAAGAATTACTTATAAAGAATATAAGCAAGAATATAAAGTATATTTATAAATAAAGAATTGAAGAATAATAACAGAAAAGAATATCTGGATGGTCAAATGTAAAGAGGAAGAGCTCGGCCTAGTACAAATGATGGCAGCTTAGGTGGGATATAAAATGAAAGAATTTGCGCCACTACAAATGGTGGCAGCGGTGGGATACGAACCCACACCTCCGAAGAGACTGGTGTAGTAACTCCCCCACAGATGGTGTTATGAGGGACCTGACTTGGTTTAGCGATTCCTTCACAGATGAGGTTATGAGGATCCTCACGTGTATGTGTGTGTGTGTGTGTGTGTGTAATGGTCAGCAAGCTCGCCTCGCAAGCGAGCAGACCCGGGTTCGATTCCCGGGCAGAGTGAAACTATGGGCAAGTTTCTTGATGCCATTTTCCTGTCTACCCAGCAGCAATTGGAAACCTGGATGTTAACTGATTTTGGGATTGTGTTCCGGGGTATTGGTTCGCCAGTGCAGTTGGCGAGTTGTCCGGTCTTCTCGGACTATTCCTTGACACTGGGTCAAGCAACATGTTAACTTAGGATGTGGTTGTCACAGATCAAGATTGAAGAAGCCGCAAGTCCAGAAACTGTGAGGGCAAACTTTTTCGGAGTGAGGGTTGTGAACTCTTGGAACAATCTACCAGAAAGTGTTGTGACGGCACCGAGTGTGAGCTCTTTCAAGACAAGACTTGACCAACACTGGAGCGGGTTGAGGTACATTCAGGAGCCGGTGCATGCCCAGTATTTGCCAACAGTGCGTGACAGAGACGTGACCGATCACCCAAGTGGCTAACGAGCTGATCAGTGGTGAAGAGGATAAAAGTAAAAAGTAAAAGTTAAAAACAAATTCACGCCTAGGTGCCATCCTCGTTACAAGAGGGGCAACCATTATGTGCGTGTGTGTGTACATGTGTTGTTTCGGAGATGAAAACGTCATAATATTGAATAATAATGTCTCAGACACCTCAAGTGGCATGTCATGTTAACTGGTGACGTCACATACGTAATCATTCACAATTATGGATTGGATGGCAATTGGTCACTCTCACCGCTGACGTCAGAAAGTTTTTACCAAGTCTCAAACATTTAACACTATTTCAAAACTGCTAGCATGGTAATCTCTCAAACATACCAATAGGATGACTCGTAATCACAAAACACAATAAATAATAGCATTTATCCTTTGTACTGTGTGGGGAGTAAGTACGTATGCATCTATGATTCCTAAAATCCACCCCTTTAGACAAAGACTAAAAAATAAAATGGAAACATACATAATACTCCTTGTTGTCAGGGAAACAAAGTGGAGCAAAAAACACAGGGCCTTAATTAACTTGGGTAAATACATCCAGAAAATACCTGCTCTTCTGAGCTGCACACCAACAGAAGCGTCAAAAATAAAGAATAAACAGACTTCCTTAAACCAAATCTAACATAAGTTTGTCCTATCCTGCTTCAGTGTCTTATTTTTCCCCAGTGAGTCATATTCTGCCTCAGTCTTATATAATTCAACTTATATAAGCAGGTTGATGATAGGGAAGGATAAAATGAATTGGCTGCCTCTGTTGAAATCACTGCACGGTTTTCTGACGTACAGTAGACCTAAATTTTTCTCCATGACGGCGACTGGTAATAGGCTCCAGATACAATAGATCTCAGTTCTTATACTTTACAGACTACCCTAGTATTACCAGGCGAGGTACGGGGCCCAGTAAGGTTGTCTTGGACCTTTACTTTATCCTTTTCGCCACTAGTCGGCTCGCTAACAGATCGACTGGTCGGTAATATATCTGTTATGCACTGTTGGTAAGTACTGGTTATGCTCTTTAATATAGTGTTATTAAAGTCTTGTCTTAAATGAGCTGACATTCACTGTACACCAAATCTAAATGGACCCCAATCTTGACGGTAAGGTTGGGGCCTGGTAGGACTTAGACCTAGCAGGACTAAGGCCTAGCAGGACTAAGGCCTAGCAGGACTGGGGCCCACTTTACCGTCCGTCTCAACCACTTACTTGCATGGGGGACGGAAGGGGAGGAGGTGCTTCATGGCCTGGCTGTACTTTGTGTTGCAGCATCTTGGTTCCTTGTGCTCACTGTGGGGGAGAACACACTCGGTTTAATACTACCAACAACTGTATTTAATGCCCGAATAATTCACATGGTAATATAACTTGCTAAATCAAAGTACTGAACTTATGTAACGTACACAATATTTCAACATTAGTTACACAAATTACGTGATTATGAAATAAAGTTAGTTAGAAATATAAAATAGATACTTATTGAGAGAAAGACCCAGAATATAAAATTATTAATATATATATACATATATATATATATACATATATACATATATATATATATATATATATATATATATATATATATATATATATATATATATATATAGTATTGAAGAGAATAAATATATGAAATAGGATATAAAGAAAAAATCTGCTCCCTTACACCCGCATGAATCTGATATTATATATATATATATATATATATATATATATATATATATATATATATATATATATATATATATATATATATATATATATATATATATATACTGTTAATGAATATGATGTATTTCTTTGTGTATGAACCTCTGTCCTGCGTGGCAGTGAGAAGTGATACCACCCTCAGTGTCAAGACCTGACTGAATTACTCAGAATAGGCAAACTGTACTCCAAGCTTTGTCAATAAATTTGTTAAACTAAAAACTAAACTAAAGTTAGTAGTCATAAATATTGTACATATTCCATTAGCAATAGGCACAACTTTAACGTTTGCTGGAACTGAACCGTTGATAAGTTAACTGTACCTAATAATCCTACTGAATATTATATATTAAGGGAAAGGAAATATAACACAACTAGCTAGAAGTCAAGGAGTTTGTCTGTTTTAACCAAGGTGATGACGAGAAGCCAGAACACACTGGGTCTGGCCGCGACCTTTATCATATGATACACCGTGATGATGATGATGATGATGATGATGAGATGGAGAGAAGAGAGCCTTTGCTCTGAAGATGGAAGAAGGTGGTAAAGTTAGGAAGTGGGAAATAAAGTGGGAGATTTGATAGCGTGGAGACTGTAGTAAACATGGACACGGCCTGGGAGCAAACAACAGAAGCCCCAGGACCTGCAAGAGGACGCGTTCATCCATGTATTTATTTTTTTGTATATTTTGTCACAGAAATCATTGTGGTCGTGGACTGACAGCCTGAATTCTACGAGGGAGTCCAAAATGCTCATAAATGCGTATGAAGGCTTCCTGGGCTTCCCTTGGATGAGACGACTTCCTGTTTACCTGTTCTAATGTCCACTGTCACGGCCACTACTGAATATTCCTTTTCATCCAGCAGTGCTTCAACCCCTCGGCCCATTTATCAGACTCACATTCTAAACTAACAGCTTTGCTACCTCCAGCTGATTTTTTTTACGGTGATTAATCCACCCGAGCACAGGTCATCGACCCACAACGGGGCCTGGGGAGCAAAAAAAATAAGAGTAAAAAGAAATAAAAAATATTAGTGAAAAAGACTATACTATTAATCTACACCACAAAGATGCCGGAAAATCAGCTTTTTGAAGTGAAACAGTTTGTAAGAGTATGGAAACACAAAAGAAGGCAGAGCATTCCACAGTTTGGCTGTGTGAGGAAAGAAGGATGTACTACAACGGGTTATTCTATTTAATCTAGTGTGACCGACATCCACACAGAAACGGTGGGCACTGCGGGCAAGACGAGTGTTACGAGCCCAAAAGATGACATTTCCATACAATTATATTGTGAACATGTATCCAAGGACTCCGAAGTAATACCAGCTAGTAACAAGTAAACTTAATATATTTACGGTATTATTATCGTTTCGGATATCCAGCGATTTTTAATATATATATATATATATATATATATATATATATATATATATATATATATATATATATATATATATATATATATTCTAAGACACTTCTCTTCCATGGGATTTTACCCTTTCATTAATACTTTCAGAGAAAATCGCAATACATTTTTGGAAAATCGACGATATTTTTTCAGTTGATGTTGGTGTTAACACCGTCTTGGAGAGCTCTTGTGTGTTCGTCTGTTGGTGATAAGGCTGAATTACGCATGGACTAGGCTGACACATGCGCAGTTGTTCTTCGCAATAATCTGACCTGTTCATTGGTGGGTATGATTTTGGATTAACCAATCACAACTCGGTCTAGGCCCCCCGACGCGACCCCCTTGAATTTTAATTTATTTCCAAGATGTCTCCCTTGTGCAATGGTTGTGTTGTAGATTCAGTTATTTGCAGTTTTACACAAGACTGCCTGTTACCAGTTACTACTGTTTACATTTACTCTTTCAGGCTGGTTCTCTCTCTTGCTCTCGATCTGGGGTAAACTCAAACGTCCTGTATACGACAGAGTCGGGGCAAACGGCAGTTGTTGTTCTCTCTCTCTCACTAAAGCTGGATCAAGTTATTACACATTTTCATTATTCTCACTCGAACAAAGAATCCCAAATATTTTACAATTTTCTAATAAACCCTTGCGGGCTCCATTATAGAGGTTCCGCGGGCGCCGAACTACGGGTTGGGGACCACTGGGTTCGACAATAGGGGTGAGGCAAGAGAGTGAGCGGGGGTAAGGTCATTACGTACGTACATATATACCATACAGTATATACAAATACATTCATAAGAGTACATACATACGAGTACATACATACATACAGTACATACATACAGTACACACATACATACATACATACATACGTACATACACACAAGTAACTATGCCTCTCGTTAGTACATAAAAGACAGGTATCAAATACTCTATGGACCTATTTCACAGTTGGTGTTCGTCTCAACTCTCATAAAACTGTCAAGTATTTTTTCGGGAAGTCGAGACTACACTACGGGAGGAAGACATAAATACTTCTTCAAGAGCACTCCCCCCACCCCAAGGAAAACCTCGGCGGGCGGCGCGCCAAGTGTTTACTGACTCAATTGACACAACAGTTGCCTTCCTTCATTTAAATTTTGATTTTATTTTTCTTATTCTTTAAATTTCCATTATTTCTCTCGTTACTCTGGCCAGCCTTAGTACTTATTCATTTGATTTTCGTGAAGTCTACCATATATCTTTAGTTTTTGTCTATAGCATCATATTTCGAAGGAGTCAGGGCACCTTCCGGTTCAATTATACAAAAAGCATCCATGAATCTGACTCGAATAAGAATGCTAAGCAGATTGAGTAAGAAGTCTTTTTTTTTTCCTCACTCTAAAATGACTGTCTCTCAGGAACATCAAAATTCTCAGCATAAAATTCACTAACAAGAATGTGCTGCGTCAATTATGAGTGAGCCACCAACATAGAGAGGACAGGTAACGAAGTAGATGATGACAGGGTTAGACCTTCAACATGTGTGTTGTGGCGGGGCGATGGCTGTCGGCAGGCTGGCACACGGGGCGTTATAACCTTGAGGCAGGATAACGCCCCTGTGAAACAACCGGACTTTGAATGCTACCCAAGTTGAACGAGTGTGGATTTAAATTGCATTAAGCTTGAATGAACGAACACAAACATTAATCCTTTTATATTATCTCTCCCTCCTTCCCCTCCCCCAAAACCCCTTAACCCTTCCCCAAACCCCTCCTCCCTCCCTTAATCCCCTCTTCCTTCCCCTAACCCCTCTTCCCTCCCTTCCTTAATTCTCTTCTCCGTCCTTTAACCCCTCCTCCCTCTCCTAACCCCCTTTTACCTCCCTATATCCCTCCTCCCTCCCCCCGTCCCCTAACCCCTCCACCTTCACATACAGTAAACAGAAGCACCAGCTACTCTTTCCTGTATAATCATGTATGAAAAACAAACAAACAAATATTCCCCTATAAACATTATTAAAATTTCATAAACAAAACAAACGCTAAAGCAAATAAAGACGATCCACTCTTACATAACTGTATTTACTGTAGTAATAGTTCATATAGAGGCTCCTTACTGTAGCTTTCTCAGTGAGGTTAATAACTTTTTTTATTTTTTTACGGGATTAGCCCACCATGGCACAGGTCATTGACCCACATTAGGGTCTGGGGACAAAAATATAATAATAATAATAATAATAATAATAATAATAATAATAAAGGACCATAAAAAAAGATCAATCATGAGAAATGATACACTGTACATGTATGTATGTTGTGTTGTGAAAGTAAGAGAAACAATTGAAACCCTGCAATTGTGTAAATGAGATAGAAAGTCAGATCAGCAATCTGGGACTTGGTCACAACTTTAATTCGTATAACAAAAAAAATGTTGTTCGATAACTGGAGAAATAAAATTGACGTAATAATGTCAGTAAAGGTAAGACGCCACTCATACATACTACACAACACACATCATACATAAAACATAATACACAACAAAATCTATAAAGCTTCCTCCTGCTTGTCACTAGTTTTTCGCCTGTGCTGTATTATGATCATCTCGCCTCTATCAAGCAGTTGGGCAGGTTTAAGCTTTATCTCGTGGTATCTTTTTCATAAATTCGTAGTCCTCTCATCCTCTCGGTATAAGGCTCAGCTATTAAGTCCCTTTGGCAGTAGATCGTGTTGTGCTCCCCCTAAGTCTCGCTGTGGCTCAACCATCTCATGTTTCCCATCCCTTTCACGGAGGCACTGAGCGAGGAGGGGGAGGTTATAGTGGCCAAAGTCAACATAGGGCCAGAGGCTCTTTCAAGTCTGTAGGTGAGAAGAGACGGAGTAGCTATGCCTTTCAGATACACGGGGATAGACAACACACTTTGAGTCGGGAGGGAGGGCCGAGGGAGGGGAGAGTCGGTCGGTTCTTCTCTGGTGCTTCCTTCTCTCTTCGGCTTATACAATCGTGTGCCGTTAGACGAGGAGGACACAACACTGGTGGACTGTGTGGCCTTGAGAATCAGGTGTGGTGGGTATATTCTCGTTTATAAATAGTGTGAAAGTAGGATCGACTTCCCTTTAGGGTACAAGATAGCGTAAAGCCAAGGGTTGGATCCCTTGTTGGGGGTACAATGTCACACTAGCAGCGTGGGTTCT